TCAGCTGATCATGATATCAGCGGCTGTCCGATTTATAGATGAATGTGGAATTTCAGTAGAATTCATTTCCCGACCATTTCTTATGCTGTGCTACAGCTGCAATAATGGTCTTTCTGGGATCTTCAAAATTTATAATTTTCTCCAACTACCATAGACAATGACGTTTTTAGCCGTAACCCCAATTTTGTAGAGCAGTGTTATACCACCTTGTTGCCTCCAGACGCCCAGAGACCGTTTAAACAGGTCATGCTTCCACTCCATTTCAGCGTTGTCAGTGCGTGGATGCAGTGCACTGGGAATGATTGAGTTGAGACGAACAAATCGCATTCACATGCCATCTCGGAGTTGTACTTTAGCAAATTACATGCTCATGGTACTACTGATTATGCTTCTTAACCGAAAAGTAGTTTAAATATTCAGTGCTTCTGCACTACGGCTAATCGAAGAAACACGGTTCAGCTTATGAGCACGTTAGTATTTCTTCACTATTATTCTGGATTTTTCTTAGTAGGCCACGAGAGCTGCAAGAAAAGCTTGCATTCACGCAGATGATTGTGATGGTCTCCCGAATATTTATTTTGGAATGAATGGTATTCGCTTTAGAATAGATTTTTGGAGTTATGTGTTGTGCCCGCAGCTTTTGACTAATAGTTGTGTTCATGAGGTTGATGATCTTCTAAGAGACGCCAGAAAAATGATTTAAAGCAATATCTTTAAAATTTTGGACCACTTGTTCTATAAAACTCTGATGACTGTATGCATTCCTTCTGAAATTAGTGTAGTCATAAATGACGTTCCTTGAAAGTGTTTATAGTGGCTGCTGAAACTTATACCGTTAGGGTTCTCACATCACTTGGAAATATGCATTGTTTATTCTTTTTCGGAAGTAGCGTACGCGCACTTTTATCCAGGCTGCAATTTTTGTCACCTTCCTCCGAATAATTCGTTTTAAAGCTGGTCGCCGTGCTGATGGTTTGCGAGAAACGGTGACAGACAGTTCTTGTCTAAACCTGTTATGTCAGTTAACGCTTGAAGTTCTTAGGTCTAAGCGCCGGAATATGCCACTTCATAGGTTAACACCCGGAATATGCCACTTAACGTCACTCATTACTTCATAGGTTACTTGATATAGCGATAATCGTTGATGAAAAAGGAAAACTGCAAATAATTTCGGTTGAAGTGTCTGAAGGTTTTGCACATTCCGCAACGTTGACAGTGCACAACGTTGACATGGTTTTCACCGTTAAAGAACTTAGGTGCGTTTTGAGTTTTGATGAAATAAACATACGTTATGATCACTCGTTGTGTCTAAGTGTACAGCACACTGCATAATTTTCACAACAACCTTTTTTATGTCTTTTATACGGAATTTAGATGCAGCTTTTGTCTAAAGCTATTTTCATTTTTTTACGAAGTTGGAAAACGGAGTTGATGGACAGAGATTGCTCCAAATAAGGCGGTCTCCTTTTTATTTAGGATACAGTCTTTTATCTGATTTCATGTTGGACTTGCAATCAAGTTATTATTTTGCTTAGCGAGCTCTCCTTTCATGTCTAGGTTAATCATTCTGACAGACAGCTTATCACAACAAAAAGTTCTTTCAGTATCGTTAATACAAAATTCTCGAACCGCTTGCTTTTTAGGTCTCCGCACTACGCCTGCCCCGAAGTGATCAAAGTATTGTATGTCGCTGTAATATCATGTGTTGATTTTATGCTTTCAGGGTGAAAAGTACGACGGTAAGAAGGCGGATGTATGGAGCTGTGGAGTTATTCTTTATGCACTCTTGGTGGTATTTCTATTTATTATCTAATATCCGTGTAATATCATAATGTCATTAGGGAGC